TGGTATTGGATTGTGTGCGATCGGGTTTGAGCGGTTCATTGATGAGACCAAAGGTACCGTTATTGTTTGTAAGCCACTTTAGGAAACTCGAACTGGGAGGGGGCTGCCCAGCCACTAGTAGGTTAAATAAACGTAGAACGAAGAAGGTGGTCTGCAGTGGGGTAGAGTAAGATTTAGCATGCCCGGCCGCCAGCACATCGGCCAAAGGGAGAGAGTTCAGAGAGCGAGAATCGTGAGAAGACTCCTAAATCCATCATTTTATCTCTTCTATGGGCATACAGCTTCCTGGTTATCCAGGCCGAGTAAGGGGTTGACTTAGAGGGCCCCACCCGGAGCCCCATCCCTACCCCCATTATTAACCTTCCTTCTATACTTCCCAGCTTAATTGACAGCAACCGAAATGCCAGTGGAGTAGAACCATCTGCAGCCACCTTCCCATAACACCCATCAGACGTCTGTCGGCAACAGTCCCTTATAAGGCCACGCTGTCTCGTTTCCCTGGCGGCGTTCAACGTTCGCACTTTAAGACAAATAAATCAACAGGCTGCAACCGCACGCACCTTAGACACATTGGGTATTGATGTTTGTTGTGTGTCCGCAACTAGGATCAATGACCCTATCCGATAAAAGGTAAAAACATCAAGGAAAACCCATTATTTTAGCAATTAATCGGTTATCTTCGATTGTGCATTGATTTTGGAGATTCCGAAACCTTCCATTCCTACACGTGATTGCCAACGTACAGAGTTTTGGCAAAGGAAGCTGTTATCTTTACCAGTTGACCGTTTTCTAGAAGCCGAAGGCCATTGAGCTACCTAGATATTTGGCGTAGGTCTGGCTTAGTTGTACAGCGTTCTGGCGATGTTTTTGGCTAACTCTGGCGGCGATTTTGCCGACACTTTTCTGCGGTCACGTTCGTTTTACTTCTGCCTTTTCTTCGGCTGGGCTCAAATTCTTGCGGCGATATTTGTGTATTTAATCCAGAAGAGCGAGAAAACTTGGAGATCTAACAATGGTGACGGACAAGCATAAAAATGGTACGAATTTTTCCGCTAAGCGTTTTCAAAAGCTGCTTCTTCAGCGACAATCCCAAATGGATGCACAAATGAAACGGATTGAAAATTTATCGCAGTGCTTGAACCTACAGTCAACGGAGCGGCTACGCGCGGCACGCTGGCCGTTTCACTTGGTCTTACGAATTCAGTCACTGAATTTCATTATGATGCTGATTCTGAATGCGCTTTCGAGGCGTGGTTCAAACGCTGGGAGGACATGTTCCGGACGGATTTCAGCCGTCAAGATGGAAACTGCGTCTATTGCTCCGCAAGCTCGGTACTAATGAACATACAAGATTCGTCGACCACATCCTCCCCAAGGAGCCCAAGGACATCACTTTCAACGACGCAATGGCAATACTTAAAGAAATTTTTGATTAATCAACGTCTTTGTTTGACATTCGCTACCAATGTCTAACAAGTGTTAAGCGGGATAAGGACGATAATGGGGCACTAGCAGATATGATTAACCGTGAACGTGAACGTTTCAAGCTACGCTGTTTGACGGATGACCAGTTTAAGTGTCTCATATTTGTCAGTGCTTTACAGTTTCCACGCGACGCGGAAATCCGCACTCGGCTCCTTGCTAAGTTGGATCAAGATCCAGATTTGACATTGAAGTTTCTTGTAGGCGAATGCAAACGGTTGATTACTTTGAGATACGACACCGCTATGATTGAGCAGAGTCGCCCCATCATTGTTGATACTGTTCATGTTGTGCAAAAGGCAAGAACGGCTGGCTCGAACAAGCCGTTCAACAGAGCGCCGAACAATCCGCCTATACCCTGTTGGTCATGTGCTGTTATGGCATTTTGCACGATACTGTCCATTTAAGCGTCACATTTGTGATCACCGTCATAAACGGGGCCACAAGGAAGACTTGCCATCAGTCCCGGCCAAGAAACGTGCAACATTGCTACCGAAGGAAGAACTTTAGCAAGCCTGACGCAGAATCACTATCGGTAATTGCCGCTTTTCACAGCGATTCTAGAGCACGTCGCCCATTCATCACTGTACTCAACGCCATCCCAACCAGGCTGCAGTTCGATATGGCCTCAGATATAAGGATCATTTCCAAGAACACTTGGAAGCACATCAAGAGGCTGAAGAGGGTTGATTCCAACAAAGTCGCCCACAACGCATCCGGTGGAGTGCTGAAGCTGGTCGGAGAAATAACCTGCAAAGTTGTCTTCAGCAGAGTGGAACAGACCGGAACCTGCTACTTGTCTGACCGACCAAACTTAACCTCCTTTGAGCTTGAATGGATGGAAAAGCTGCTACTGTTTGACGTTCCAATGAATCAGATTTGCAATAGAGTCCATACCGATCCAGTCCAGGTATCATTGTCGAGAGAAGACATGACGAGGAAGCTAATGCCGAAGTTCGCCTCATTGTTTGAATATGGTCTCGGTCACTGCACTAAGTTCAAAGCATAGTTGTGCCTTCCCGAATGAACTATACCAGTCTTCAGAGCAAAATGACCGGTGCTTTAGGCAGCGATGGTAGCAGTTGATCAGGAGCTCGACAGACTGAGGCGCGCCGGTGTCATCACAGGCTGCGCCAATCCTTGTTGTGAGAAAGCCGAACGGTGAACTGCTTGTCTGCACCGATTTTTCGTCTGCCTGAATGCCGCACTGGACGACCATCAGTATCTCTTTCCGATATCAGAGGATATCTTTGCCAAGCTGAACAGTGGGAAGTGTTTCGCCCAGCTCGACTTGTCCGATGCCTACTTCCAGTTCGATGTTGATGAAAGCTTGAGAAAATTGCTGACCATCAACACTCATCGTGGCTTGTACCATTACAACCGCATCTCTTTTGGAGTGAAGACATCACCAGCCATCTGCCAGCAGCTGATGGACACCATGCTCGCCGGAGTTTCTGGAGCCGCGGCGTACCTGGATGATATCATTTTAATGGGTCGGACGGCAGAAGAACTATTTAAGCGGCTCGCTGAATTGCTTGAACGCATCCAGTCATATGATTTCCGTATCCGTGAAGACAAGTGTGCCTTTTTTTACACCAATCGTCAAGTTCCTCGGCTTCATTTTCTCAAAAGACCGTCGTCGCCTTGATCCAGAAAATATCCAAAGTGTTCAAAAGATGCTCCCGCCTATGGACTTGCAATTGCTGCGTTCATTCTGTGGCCTAATTAGTTATTACAGCGATTTTTTGCTCGAACTACAGCGCCTGCGTGTCCCGCTGAACACGTTTCTGAGCAAGGGCCAAACCTAGATTTGGACGTTAGAATGCCAGATTACGTTTGATCGGGTCAAGTCATCTCTGGCGTCAGACGTATTCCTGACTCACTTTGACCCGTCCCGAGAAGTTGTCCTCGCCACAGACGCATCATGTCTAGGGGTCGGTGCCGTAATTTCCCATACGTTCCCAAATGGATCCCAGAAGGCGATCGCACATGCCGCTAAAACCATGACGAAAACTGAAAGAAGGTACGGCCGAAATCAAGGTGGCATTGGCCATAGTGTGTGCTGTAAAGAAATTTCACAAGATGCTGTATGGTCGCCACTTCAAGCACTTGGCGGATCATAAGGCGCTGCTGACTTTTCCGCTCGAAGAAGGGAATTCCTGCCTATACAGCCAATCGACTCCAACGACGGGCACTCACCTTGCTCGGCTATGGTTTTGAAATCTATTATCAGTCAACGCTTTCGATGGGCCAAGCAGATATGTTGTTGCATCTTATTGATTCCCATCAGCAAGAACACGAGGATACTGACATAGCCTCAGTTGTGATCGAAGCCGACATCAAATTCCTGATGAGCAAGGCATTCCATGGTTTGTCTACCTATCTATCTTCTTCCCCTCTTGTGCATGGAGCTAGGGGTTGTGCATCATTTGGCAGAACTTGCATATGTGCGGCTAAATCTCCATGAGTGTTGAAAGTCGTTCGCCTGCCCTACGCGTGGGCCACATTTCGCGAGAGAAATTTACGTGTGGATTAGGCTTACCTACGGTCTAAGCATGGTGCGTCGCGTCACCGAACTAGGCCAAATTGGTTATTGGCGTCCAATGCGGAACAGAGGGTGATAAATCTATCGCCCATCGAAGGCGAAGTTTTTACATAGTTACTCTGCGCATCCTTCTATGTGCGCCTTGTCAATGCTTTCTAGTTCGTTTGACTGAGTTCTGGAAAGGTGACTCGTCCTGTTTGACTAATAAGTTGTACAGACCTCGTCTCCCCTATAGTAGAAAGGGCATCAGCAGTACGCTGGTACGCTGTACCGACGCTTCGGTGCCACGCAGCCGCCACCAGTCGCGCGTGGGCTAAGAATACTGCAAGCGTCGTCCGGTCCTCTACGCAGACTCGAATCCGCGAGCTCCGGATTACAACCCAGACGTCTTGTTCTTTCGGCCACTGGCTGGCTCTTTCCCATAGTCCTGTACTCAGTCTAGACCCAGTTTTCATTAATCTACCAGTTCCTTAATTTGGTCCCACAGTTTTTAATTCATGACAAGAATAGCCAAAAGAAGCTTCGCTCAGTTGCTTATTTCTGATTCATCTAACTATCATAGCAAGGACTCTGTGCGGGATATCTGGACAGTAATTTTTCGTGACGTGATCCAAACTTTTCTGTCTAGTTCTTCAAAACCTCTGCAATCTGTTTATTTCCAAGTTCCTCTTCAATCCGAACTCCTCTACCTATCACGCTTTTCTCACTGTGTGCGTTAACTACATCTTCCTACTCCGCCATGCTGTTTACTGCGTGGTTATGCTAACGGTTCTCCAAAATCCAACATTGAACTATTCTTTTTTTGTTTTTCAGATCCGCAGGTCTGCTCCAACCTAATTTACACTTAGCATACCGAATAAACCGGTCTCGAATTTGACGCATACTTTATACACACCTCTTTTCCTCCATCTTAGCTTTCAGCCATGAAACCTGGTACGTTACTCTTATATGTTATCTTTTCACCCTAAGAAAGCCGTGGTGATTTCAGGGGTGGGAGGGGTCGTGGCCGCGGTGGATTTCGAAATAGCTTCGGCGGTGAGAGCAATAGGGGTGGATTTGCGGATAACAGAGGGGGTCGTTTCAGCGACCGTGGTGGTTTCCGTGGTCGGGGCGATGCAGCTGGCCGCGGATTCAGAGGTGGGCGGGGAACCCCGCGTGGTCGTGGTGGCAGAGGAGGATTTCGCGGTGGAAAACGTGTCATAATTGAGCCACATCGTCACGAAGGGATTTTCTTGGCCAAAGGAAAAGAGGACTGTCTCGTGACTAGAAATGCTGTAGTTGGCGAGTCAGTTTACGGCGAGAAGCGCATTAGTGTGGAGGATGATTCAGGGGAAAAAGTCGAATACCGCGTTTGGAACCCTTTTCGCTCCAAACTTGCTGCCGGAATTGTAAATGGTCTAGATCGAATTCACATTGCTCCCGGTACCCGGGTCCTCTATCTTGGTGCAGCAAGTGGAACCACTGTCTCGCATGTTTCAGACATCGTGGGTCCTGACGGAGTTGTGTACGCTGTTGAGTTCTCACACCGATCTGGTCGAGATTTACTGAATGTCGCAAAGCACCGAACGAACATAGTACCGATAATAGAGGATGCCCGTCACCCTCATAAATACCGGATGCTTGTTGGTAAGTGTTTTATTTCTTTTCATTTACAACAGGAATGGTTGATTGTATCTTCGCCGATGTCGCACAACCCGATCAGTCAAGAATAGTAGGAGTCAACGCTGAATACTATCTGAAGAACGGCGGCCACGCAGTTATCTCTATAAAAGCTTCTTGTATAGATTCCGTTGCGGCACCAGAAGTCGTCTTCGCCAAAGAAGTAGACACACTGCGTAAATCGCAGTTTACTCCTCGTGAACAAGTGACCTTAGAGCCATTCGAGCGTGGCCACGCTATGGTCACTGCTCAGTACAGGTAAGCTCCGTGACTAGTTTGCACTATTTCTAGAGCTCCAAAGAAATCAAAGACGGAAAGCTGATCAACGCAACACCCGTCTGTAAATACGTACTGTCTACATATACTTACAGTGAATCTTCTCGTTCTTCCACTTAGTAGCTGCCAACGGAGGAGTCACTGCGCTGATTCAATATTACCTACTGCTGCTTTAACGAGTCACTTATTTCAGTGTCTTCGGTCACATAGACAGACCTATTTGTGTCGTGGTTTTGATAGTTAGGAAGCTACGTTGAAATCGTTCTTTTACTTTTTTCGCTTCTTTGCTGCCAAGTGTTAGGTAGCCCTCTGAAGGCGGGACAAGTCAAATTGGACTTTGATCAAAATTCTATCTAGCGCAAAACTGCTTGCCATTTAACGGGACAGTAAGTTGCAAATCCTTGTTCGCAGTTTCGCTGAAGAGCTGATGGTCTCACGGTTGCCGTAGCCGTCCGGTCACGTGATGTACAACGATTCTCACAACCTAAGGCTTGATGATATCGCGGCTTGCGTTGGCACTTCAGATGTGCTATCACCTAGGCACGTACGGTGGCTAACCTCACACAACCTACCCTTTCCCAGTTCAGCCAGTTGGTTGGTGGTGTAAATCCGTACGCTCTACCACTAGGTGTTTCCTTTTTGTCTTCTTCATCGGCGCCTGTGATATTTCGTTGGTTTTGCCCCCTGCGCTACTTCATGTTATTCGGTGAGTGTCGTCTCATATGAATGTGATTTCGCCAGTATGTCATTTCCTACCTTGTCTTCTTAACTCACACTTCTTGTTCGAGTTTCCACAACTACTTCATTGTCTATTGACTCCAGACGCCACTTGTACCCATAATCCAGGCCGTAATATCGCTTCTCACAAATGATCCTGTTTTTAGACGGCAACGCAGCATTGCCTGCGGTTGCTTTTCCGGTTGAAACAGGGTTTTGGAAGCAGACAACAAGATTCTCATTGTGCGGCTGAATGGATGGAGCTCACTCCGACTTTTGGAGACTGGGTGTTGCTACGTTTCAGAGGCGTATACTATTTGGGTCTACATGCAGCTTCTAACTTTTGACCAGTGTTCGATTTGGATCGTTCACTACTGTCTCCGTCTTTCCGTTTGATTGACTATGGCTAGGACGGTAATGATCAGATTCCTACTTCGTGGGAAATGCTCCGTATTCCAAGTGCGACTGCTAATCTTTGTCGAGCAAAATGACAGCACGGCTTGTTCACCACAGTACGACCACTGGTTGTGAGCAAGAGAATGATTTGAAATTGACCACTAAGGTAGTCCATCGTAATCAGATACCTTTTCCATTGTGTTAATATGTCAATTGCCACTTCCCGTCCTTGTCTTTTTGAGATATCTCTATACACCACTGGTTCCTTTTTTTGACAAACGTCATATGCGCGATAGACTCGGCAGTTCGATACATAGTCCCGAAAGTGATTGACCATACAGTTTAAGACATTATAAACCCTCTAGCTCGTGCAACTCATTAGTTCATTCATCCTCAGGTGTGGATCTCTGATCATCATCTTGATTCCTAAATGCGTAGTATTGGGAGTCCACTTGATTTCCTTCGAATACCAAGCCATCTTCTACAACGGGTTCATCGTGAAAATGAAAGAACGGTGTTAGTTGTGTAGGCAAACTCCTTTTGTCCTCTGGTGGTCATCCCTCAGGCTAGTTCGTTTTAAACCTTTACTAACTACTGTTTGCAACGCAGCAGTTGTTGCCAACGCACTTCAGTGACAACAAGTTGCTGTCTCGCGAGCCCTGTGTATGTTCTCTTGTGCCACTTCTACATCTGACAGATGCGAACCCTATAGCTCATCCGGAATTTGCATATGAGCTTGAGGTTAATAGATCGTTTCCAGACCGTATTTATGAAGTTGGATGAAAATCCTCTGAAGACGACACGGCACAACATGAAGCGGCTTTTGACCTGCCTCTTGGTATGCGATTCCGATTGAGCTGAACTCGTTCCTTGCCAGCTTCGAATCTCAGCCGAAAATCCGAAGTCAACGCTTGGTAGCAAGATGCATGTTGCAGAACCAGCTACCGAAACGGATAAAAGTACTGTCAAAACAAATGGACATTTATTAGCCAATCCGGGGATGTTTGCCTTTTCGCAATCTAGATTAGCTGTCCTAATCGGTAGTTCAGTTCCTTTAGCCAATGGCGGGTAGGTACCTGCGTGGGGTCGAAATGCACGTTTCTGACGCGAGCATTCCTGATACGTCTCAATGTTTCCCTTTTACACCATTGGTTCAACTCGTTTTCCCATTGAAATAATGAGGTTCTCTGGGAGATTTTACTCTCCCGGACATGTGTAGGCGGAACTCCAAAACTGCAATCGTTAAAGTGACTGCATTAGTAATCGAGCAGCTCTATGGTTGGCGGCATCCGGTTTCGGATTTGCCTGTCACTATGGCCAGCCACAGGACGCCTGCGCCTACAGAGAGACCATGAATGGCTTGCGCTGCACCACCCACAACTCCAACCACATACCCCATATCCAGTGTAAACCCGAAGGAATAAGACCGGGAGGTATGCGGATGGGAACCACGTTTCATCAACGGAGCCGGCCCACACTCCTTCACAGGCAAACAAGCACACTGTATTTGGGGAATCAAGCGCACACAAGGCGGTGGCTGGACCGTAGTCCGCTCCACACTGAGTGCATGGAACCACTCTTTGATCCTAACACGGCCACAAGGACCGTGCACCCCGTCCCCTCCAGCAACGACCAACTGTCTCCTGGAGCCAGTATGAACGATGTAGTGGGTAATAGACAGGTAGGCACCTTGTCAACATACACATCAAGCGCATCCACACCGGGGATATCAAACAACAGCCAAGCACTTGAAAGAGAGAAAGAAAAAGAGAAAAACTCCATTAATGCATAAGGAAACGGTGACATAAACCTTAATTAAATAGCATACGTAATAAGTTGTTTACAAACAAATCCTAGCTAAGTGCACGACGTCGGGAAGTATAGTTCACGGTATGCCACGAACGCAAAAATGTTATGGTAATCGCATACAATTGGCTTAGACGATGTGTGCAAGTTAATGAAATAGAGTACAGGGAGATATTTATATGAGAAAGAAAAGCATAAAGGTACAAACTGTAAACCCACCACCTGAAATAAAGAGACTTAGCATGCAAGCACGCGGTTAGTAAATCGAATTCAGCGTGCCTACAAACGCTGCGCTGGCTCGCCGTAATTCTCTGTAAGACCCGTCGTCGCTTCTGTAGTGGCCCCAAATGGCATAGCTCATGGCCCACTAGACATTTATATGAGAAAGAATGGCATTAGGAGAGAACCGAAAACCCACCACCTGAAATAAAGAGACTTAGCATGCAAGCATGCGGTTAGTAAATCGAAATCAGCGTGCATACAAACGCTGCGCCGGTGCTGCCTACGTTCACTGCGGGACCCGTCGTCGCTTCGGCAGTGGTCCCGAATGACCTCTCTCATGGCTCACTAGGCCTGCCTGACTAAGGCACTCGCGATCGCATGTTCTACAGCACCATGCGCTCGATGTCGATGGAGTACAATTCATCGGTGCTTGCCGTTTCCGCAACTGCCGCTTCTTCTCTGCATGCATGAGGGCTTTCTCCCGGACTTCAGCAACTGCCTTCGTGATCAGATCGCGCCATGCATGCCGATCAACCGCCTTCGATTCCCATGATCTGCAATCAAGATTAGAACGTGTGAGGCTCACTTTAATCATGTCCTGGTAACGTAACTTTGGTTTCCCCACGTGCCGCTTCCCAATACTCAGCTGACCGTATAAAAGTTGTTTCGGTATCCGCGCCGAATCCATACGGCTCACATGACCGAGCCATCTCAGGTGTCGTAGTAAAAGTATGCCATCCACTGCATACATCCCACTTCGGCGAAACACTTCCGTGTCTGCGACTCTGGCGCCCCAACCGATCCGCAAAATTCGTCGCAGACACTGCTGATGGAACCGCTCGAGATATCGCACATCCCGACGGTACATCGTCCACATTTCACTGCCGTATAGAAGAACGGACAGTACCATGGATTTGTACACCATCAGCTTCGTGCCAATGCTAAGCTGATGGTTGTTCCACACTCGGTACTCAAGCTTCCCGAATGCCGCTGCCGCCTTCGACACGCGATTACGCAACTCAACGTGTAGCTGCTGATCAGTCGATATCACACTCCCAAGATAGCAAAAGCGGGGGGTGGTTTCCAATACGTCAGCACCAATGCTGATTTGCGGCAATATTGAAGATTGCACCTCCGGTGAAGGCTGAAAGAGACAGACAGTTTTGCTTGTGTTGATGGTGAGCCCGAATTTGGCCGCTGTCGAAGCCAGAGCACTAGTCATGTGCTGCAACTCATCCGCGCTGTGTGAAAACAACGCACAGTCGTCAGCAAACAGCAACGTGCGGATAGTTGTCTCACAGACTAGAGTTCTCGCACCGAAACGACGGATGTTCAGCAACCCACCATCAATACGGTGCTCCACACGAACACCGTAAGCACAAGCCGCATCAAAAGCACAAGACAACATTGCATGAAGATAGATATTAAATAGGGCAGGAGCTAACACACAGCCTTGCTTCACACCAGAGACAACTGTAAAGTCATCCGAGGTCTCTCCACTCAGCTGCACCCTCGCTCGCATACCACTGTGCAGACATTCAATTAAACATACAAACTTACTCGGGCAACCAAACTTACCCAACACCAGCCACAATGCGTCGCGGTTCACCGTATCAAATGCCTTGGTGAAATCAACAAAAAGCGAGTACAATGGCTGGTGTCGTTCTCTGCACTTCTCTTGCAACTGACGAGCCGCAAACACCATATCTATAGTGCTGCGAGCCGAGCAGCTCTATACATTTATGCTTAACGGCACTCGGCTGGTGTCAGTTGGTTTTCGAAAGCCCAACGGTTTTCCATTTTGCAATAACACTGCCTCGATCCCATGTTGCTTGTTGTCGCACTGTAGCTTGAGAAGCAGCGACGGGTCAAAGTAAGCGAGTATTGGGGCAGTTGTGATTAAACCTATTACTTGGAAAGTTTTTTGCTGTTCATCATCCCAATACTCATTTGCCCGTCAGTTTGAGTAATGGAATCATCACTTTGTCCAATCTCGATAGCAAATGAACCATACCTTATAACAAACTGCCTTTTATTTTTCTTCTCTTTTCCGTATCTGGTTTTAACCTACCAGAGCTTAACACGTGTGAAAAATACTACCTCCGGGTTGCGCGGTTCGAATTTACCACGTTTCACGCCAGTATTCTCGGTGCATGGTTG